TTAATCTTTGTCTCTTATCTGTACAATGAGGATATAACCATTTGGAGGCCTTATTCCTGTAGTTTATGAATGCCAGTGTAATTTTATGTACCTATACATATCTGCCTTTTGCCACGTGCTCCTTGTGCTGAGGAGGCAGGGGAGTGGTAGTAATGTGTCTTTCCACAAGTAGGTTGATCATTCATGACTATCAGCACCTGAACAGGTCTGACTGGAGAAGTACACAAGAGTTACTGCATCCTAGATAAAGCCAGTTTTCTCTAACCTCTCTGCAGAAGAGGGAGGGTTTTGAAGGACTGGAATTTCCCCAGGCGTAGAACAAAGGGAGCAGGTATTTGCCTTGGGTCTTAAACAGTTCAAAAGAGGGAATCCTAGGGCCTTGTTACACCTTACGCTATGACAGCACAAATACTGATGGGTGTTAGTGCTAGCTTGGAGTTAGGAGCAGTCACACCCTTAGTCTAGAAACCTTCTCTGACTGTCCGCCACCTGCACAGCTGTGACTTCCCACTAGAGGCCTGATGAGCCGGGGCAGGACTAGGAGCTGTAGCTGTGAGTTTCCACTACAGGGCTGATGACCCAGGACAGGCTCCTATCCCTGTTCTGTGGGCTGGGGTGAGAGAGATCCTGGGATACTGGAGGACTTCAACTTCAGTGGCACATCTGTGGCGAGTGGCCACACCGTAGTGGAACAGGAGCTGAGTGATGTGGATCGGAGGTAATCCTGCCCCAGAGTGGCATAACTGAACTGCATAACGAGGGCTTAAAAACACTTTAAGATGTTAATGTAGTGACAATCCAGGGGTTAAGACAGGGGTGGGCAATTATTTCAGATGGAAGGCCGCTTACTGAGTTTTGGCAAGCCATCGAGGGCCGCATGACAGGCAGCCAGGGGCAGCTAAATATTAATTTTCTAAATTTTTGAGGGGTCCCACAGGCTGGATAGAATGGCCCGGCAGGCCGCATCCAGCCTGTGGGCTGCATTTTGCCAGCCCCTGGGTTAAGAGCTCCAGGAGCTTCCCACAATGCAAACAAGCTTTAGTTCAAGTGCCCTGGCTGCCATTTTTAAACACTGGGATGCTGATACAGGAGATGTGATGGTGCCCAAGCAGCAAGGGATTGATTGGGAATGGGACAAGCACTGCCCTGTGAGGGGGTGGAGCTACTCGTGCCACTGCACACCACCAGTCCAGGAGCTGCTCATGGCGGCTTGTCCACCGCTGCTTCCACATGGGGGCAGGTCGGGCCAGGGCTGAGCTCTGGGCAGAAGGCACTGGGAGTGGGGGCTATGCCCCACTGCCACTTGTCCAGCCAGTGCAGGACTGAGCTGCTGCGCCACCTCCAGACAAGTGGCACATAGTGGTCAACCATGGCGCAGGGAGGCACGGGGAGGCCAACCTGGCCTTCCCGTGCCTCCTGGACAAGCAGCAGCTTCACCCAAGCTGGGCGAGCAGCAGCAGGGCATAGGGGATAGGGCATGTGCCACCCAAAAACTCACTGCAGCTCCCACATAGTAGAGCTCCTTCTACTAAATGGGCAGAAGCAATTGGTGGTGGACAGGGGGGACAAGGCTGAACTCCTCAATGAATTCTTTGCCTCTGTGTTCCTAAGTGAGGGGCAAGACAAGTCTCTCACTGGGATTGTAGAGAGGCAGCAGCAGGATGCCAGACTACCAAGCATAGACCCTGAGATGGTGCAGAGGCATTTGGAGGAACTGGATGCGTTTAAGTCGGCAGGCCCGGATGAGCTCCATCCGAGAGTACTGAAGGCACTGGCTGATGTCATTGCGCAGCACTCGTGGTGCACGGGCCAGGTCCTGGAGGACTGGAAAAGGGCCAATGTGGTCCCCATTTTCAAGAAGGGGAGGAAGGAGGACCCGGGCGACTATAGGCCAGTCAGTCTCACCTCCATCCTAGGCAAAGTCTTTGAAAAAATTATCAAGGCTCACATTTGCGAGAGCCCGGCAGGAAAAATTATGCTGAGGGAAACCAGCACGGGTTCGTAGCAGGTAGATCATGCCTGACTAATCTAGTCTCTTTTTATGACCAGGTTACAAAACACCTGGACGCAGGA